GCGCGATCGGCGGTGGTGTGCGATCTGTGACTGCCCGGTCATCGTGCACGAAACCGATTGGATGGCTGGGTGGTCACGGAATCGTACACCACCGCCGATCGCGCTGTCAGTGCCATTATTTTCTAATGGCACTCCGGTCGCGCCAGGCAGATCGCACGATTTCCTGCCGCAATACCGCCCGGGTAATCCCACACGATCACGGTTGAAAACACTGTGCTGTGCATGTCGCGAAAAAAGGTACATGTACCTTTTTTTTCCAGCGATCGTCACACAGATGTAACCCCTTACATGCAGATGCAAGCGCTTTGTGCAACTGCACACGATCGCGCGTCCCCAGGATTGCCCAATAAATACTATCCTTGTCGCACTCCTTACCGATATGTCCCTTGTAGTGGGGGGTGCTCGCAGTGACTGCGGATGGCGCCGCAAATGTCAGCAGAATTATAGAAATGTCACCAGCACATCCTTTTAAGATGGCAAAAGCTTCATTTATTGAAGTTTTTTGTCATATGAACAACAAGCGCTTTCGGGACCACACAGGGCCCCTTCATCAGGCTTTAGCATTGACGATGCGTGTGTTCCCGAAAGCGCTTGTTCATATGACAAAAAACTTCAATAAATGAAGCTTTTGCCATCTTAAAAGGATGTGCTGGTGACATTTCTATAATTCTGCTGGGATTTCCTAAGTCTGCACCAACCCTGAAGGCTATATTCACTTTCCCAAGTAATTTGGGAAAATGGAATTACCCGCACAAATCTCCCTCCCACTATACTCACCTTTCGGTGAACGGCCCTTCCTGTCCACCAGTATGGGTGTACTATCTGTACCTGTTCCATGTATTCTGAATTTCGCTCGCAAATTGCAAGCACTCGTTGGTTGGCAGCCACCTGACGGCACTGACCAATGAGAAGCGCTTCCTAGCACTGCTAAATGCGGTTTTGGTTAGTATCAGGACAAGTAGATTGTTATGAGGGACAAGTAGTCCCTGGACAAGTAGATTTTTTTAAAATTTCCACACCCCTGAGCAGCTTCTAGGGATTGGATCTGCATGTAATTGAAGGGGTCATTTATAAAAGTTCCGCCTGGTGTATAGCCATTTGCACAGTACTAGTGGCCCCCAGATGGCGCTGATGAGTATAATGGAACCCTAGTATCATAAATGTGTTTGTAACACGTTGTGATAAATGGAAATGTTGGCGCTCCTTGATGCTCATTATTACACTAAAGTATCTAATGTTTCTTATGGGCACCCAACAACCTTCCTCTTATTTCCATGTATGGTAAATACTTCTGCATTAGAAATATTTTTGGGTTGTCCTGCATGTGCAGATACTCTATTTACACTGCAGTGGCTCCAAGGAGACCCTGCAGCAAAGGAAGTGGAGTGTGGACATAAAAACCAACGTTCCTGTGCCGGACAGAAGTGAATACGACATGAACTAGAAAACATGACAGAATGTAAAGTGTGACTATGTTCTTTCCATTTTTATCCCTCGAGTATGACATTATATACTCCGGTACATCCCCTACCGGAATGTTCTGCGCTTCTACGCGGTCACAATAGCTTCACATCCAACTAAAGGGTTCCAAACTCATGATGACACAACGTACACATGTCACATTATCAATAAAAGGTGTGCTTCCTTGCCAGCCCATACACTCTCTATTAGGTGCAAGGGGCTTGAATAGAGCCAGGCAACCTCAGCACTCTAGCTGTGGTGAAACTACAAACCCCGTCATATCTGCGAGTTATGCTTGTGGCTGGCAGTGTCTTGCAATGCCTCATGGAACTTGGTGTTCCACAACTTTGGACTAGAGTGTGAAAAACAGATGTGAACCAGTAAGAGGACCGAAGGCAATGTCCAGAATGATCTATGGAAAGGGCTGCGGGAGGTAAATGAAAAGTGATAGTCACACTTACCTCTCTGCTGTCATTTTCCAATGAATACTCGAACATTGCACCCAGAGCACAGTGGTAATCTTAGAAAGTTACAAGGCTTACTTCCGGTCCCTGCTATTTTATGAAAAGATTTATTTAATGCAAATAGAAGTCCCATAGATGTTCTATTGCAGTGACTAACAGGGTTATTCACAAAAGGGTGAAGGGTTCGGAGAAGGCAGGAGAAGTGAACAATCTAGGACAACATAGCTGAACTGGAAAGTGAGCTGAATTGGAGAATATTTCCAGTCCAGCTATGTTGTCCTAGATTGTTCACTTCTCCTGCCTTCTCCGAACCCTTCACCCTTTTGTGAATAGCCCTGTAAGTCAATTTAAAAAAAAAGTGGCGGGAAGTAGAAAGCGAATGGATGGGAAGCATTGAGACAACCCAAACACTGTGCTCTGGGCACACCTTTCAGAGAAATGGACCTCAGAAGGCACAGCATGGTGGGAAGTATAATGAACACACCACACTTACCAGTCATTGTCTTTTCCATAGATTAATTCACAAAGCTCTCAACAATTTAATTCATAGCAGCCGTCTGACATGGGAATCCAACATGCAAAAGTATTTTAGAGATTCCCCAGAGAAGATCCTAGAAAATTTGCTGATCAGCAGTCCTCAGTTGGCTTGGTAAAGGACCTTGTCTCTGGGATATATTCATCTATCAGTTTCCCTTGCTTGATGTTCCACATCCTATGTGTGTCCTGATTTTTACTTTCACATTGTACAAAACTGTTTCACCATACCGGCTGGGTTCTGGCCCATTGACCCGGGGGGAGTGGAGTGGGTAGTTGCCATTCCTCTGGTCACTTCATCATGAATACTATGCTCTTATGAGTTACCTCCCTGGTTATTTTGGGGTAAACTTGTTAGGTTGGGGATTGGGGTGGGCAGATTTAACTCTCTACGTTTGGCTTATTTAATTGTTAGTAAATGTCCTTATTTAGGATATGCTGATTTTTTGTTTCTCGTCTTGTTCACTTTGGCCAGGGGTATGCCCCATATGGCTTTGTTATGTATTCTATCAAAAACAAAAAACAGGAATTTTTGCTTGGTGAATAGTGAATTATATATATATTACACATATATATATATAAATCAGGAAACATTTTGTGAAGAAAGAAAAAAAAAGACATTAAAAGTCGTGTTTCTTTTTTTATATATTAATTTATGTCAAGCCAGAAATCTCAAGGCAGCTAAAGCTCACCTTTAGTAATAATATAGATCTGTATTCATTTCATTACCGAGTCCCAACACCGGCTGCCGCCTTATTTACAAAGGAAGAAGGAATTGAGGGGGGAAACAAAAATTGTATAAAATCTAAAATCGGTCACACTTGTAGAGGACAGCAGCTGAAAGGCGCCTCCACCTCTACTGTATGGCTTTGCTAAAACTCCCAGAATCCTCTGCAGAGCTGAACGAGGCTTGTGGGGGTTTTAGTGGGCCGCACAAGTAAAGGCTGCAAGGAGCCTGCCTTCGTTTAGGTCATGCTGCTAAGACCTGGGGACAAGCAGCGGTTCAGAAGAGGATGAGAAGACTGGGGAAAAGGAAAGATGCTGTTTGTATGTCAGGGTTACCCAAAACGTAATCGGTTATTTTCACTGTCAGAGCCCAGTGAGTACTTTATTATTCTTAAAACACAGTAAAAGACAAAGCAACAGGGTGCATTGCAAGAGGAGCAACATGAAGGAAACCTATCGCAAGAAAAGTACATGGCTGCCACTGCTGACCACCTTCTGGAAATGCTAATTTATTGGTGGACTAAAAGACCGCCCTGACTTTACTACTATGAAGTCACTGACCCAGGAAACATATGCAGATAAGGAGCACTAACCTTACTTGCTACATACTTCCTTTCAATGACTCTAGGAACGGCTAAAGCCGCAGGATCACCATGACAGGCTAATAGAATTTCCAGAAATTGGTCAACATTTTCAGTTATTTATCTTCAAGGACAGGAATCCTTTAGACAAGAAGAAATTGTGATAATGCCAGCCGATCTGTGGAGCAAACGATTCTGGTGCCAACTTTGGTGAGGGACAAATTGTGCACGAGACACCTTGTTGAGGAACACTGACCAGCTGAGCGGGGAGACAGACTGTGCAGGCGATAATCTCAGAGGCAGAGCATGAAGCTGCAAGGATCGCTATAACACAATCAATGCAGGCCCAAGCCTAAGGGAGACATTGCTAGATCTGGGATCCGTGATCCTGTGACACAGGCACTGTGACCCCCGTGCTTATTGAAACACAGGCACTAAGGGCCCCCGTGCTTATTGCAACACAGGCACTGTGGGCCCCCGTGCTTATTATGATACAGCCACTGAGGGCCCCAGCCTGGTTGTGGCACACTTAATGCAGGCCCTATCCTGATTGTGGCAGGTCCTTGTCTATCTTAGACCAAACCATTGCTGGCCCTAGACTAGTCTCAGCACTAAGCAAAAGCCCTTAAGGAAAACTGTTCTTTTAGTACCGTCACACTTCAAAAGTTGTCTGCACCACCACTGAACAATCTTCCACTGATCTGTCCACATGCCATGAATATCTTCACTGTGTGGCCTACGGAACCTGTCCACAGAACCTCTTAAGGCCCAGCTCTGCTCCTTCCCATGGAAAGGCTGAAAGCCACAGATGATGGACTTCCCATAGGAATGAACCGAAGTTCTTTGTGTAGAAGAGTTTCAGTGGAGAGGCTGGACAACCCCATGAAACATGAACAGGTATGTGTAAAGGTTGTTGGGAAGAGGGGGGACATCTTTTAAAGGATAGCAGCACCAGCCTCACTATGATATACCAATATTTCTTGACACCCAAAGAGGTCATGGTTGAGGATTCTCCTCTCTTAGCAATGCTGTAATGACTGATCAGGGAGACGGATTGTACCATTTATAGACGATAAAAGACACCCTAAAAACATGCTCTGTCAGAAAACTGAAACACTGCACTGAGGCCAGCCTGGCTGTAGCACAATGCTGCCCCCGTGATGCCATATCACTCGTGCCGGCCTACTTTATGCAAAGCAGCAGTAACTGAACAGACCAAAATCACAAAAATAGATCATTTCTTATATATATTATAATTAAAAAGAAAATGAAACCTTTCCCAGGTGGTGGCATGGGTGCCCAGTCGGATGTCGGTAAGGGCAGGAATGTGTTAATGTAAGTACAGATTGTGTGTTATTCTATCACAGCCGGGTAGATCAGGAGCCCAGAATTATAAAGGGGAAGAAGGTGGGGGGTGGACACAGCGCTGTCGCGTACCCTGATCGCAGACAGTGTATACCCGCTTGAACCTGTCTTGATACATAAAGGCATTATTGCTCCGTATAGAGCAGTATCTTCAGATTGTAGCCCCGTTCCCTCTACAAACAGCTCATCTGTAAGTTCATTTATAAAAGATTTAAGTCATGGCGGACTAGACACCACTCTCCAGCCCTCCACGTCACCCCCCTCCCCCCCCCACACTTTGCCATTATGTGTGCTGCTGAAAATCCTTCATATCCCAGAACTGGGTGGGACGGGGTGGATAAAGCTTCTATTTGCTGAAGTTGGCAAAATTTGCAAAGGCATCTTGTTTTGGAGGCATAGCTGCGGGGGCCACTCCAACAGGCATTCCCATGGTGTTTGGCATTCCCATCATGCCTTGATTCATCATCGGAGGGATTCCTGCAGCTGACACCCCCATAGTGCCGGTCATGATGTTGGGGATGCCCATGGCTCCTGGCATTGGGCCAGCCATCATAGGGCTAGTTTGAGGTCGGATGGACATCATGCCTGGGCTTCCACTAATGTTCATACTTGCAAAACTCTGTGGCAGCGTCATCGGCTGTTGTACATCTGCAGGAGAAGAACAGAGACGAGTGAGGTTGCACGTCAATCTACCGATCCAGAAAAATTCTGTACAAAAGAATTCACCCAAAGTAGAGGGGCTAAGACTGAACAGAGCTATGGTGGGCATAGACCACCAACAGAATCCCTGAGTGGTACAAGGAGCCAGAGAGTGATCCAGGCCACCAGGATAACACATAACTATCACTTTTGGAGGCTACCATTCCTGAAAATGCTAGATATGCTGAACCTCTCCAATACTTTCCAAGTCACTAACCTGGAACAAAAAGGTTTTCTTTAAGAAGCCAGGGAATTAGCACTCAATGGCAAAGAAAGAGAGGGATTAAAGAGACCCTATCGCCTGACCTTCATCAACCAAAATCTTCCCATAAGAATATATGTGCATCTAACATTTTATGCATGTTAGTTAACTGTAAAAGCCTCCACTGTGTAGACATCCAAAAGCCCTGAGACTGCCATTTTGGATGTGATGTTAGCAGCCCCAGCAGACTCAGAGTCGTCACTCAAGTGACACTCTATGGTAATCCCCTTCGCTGCTCCCCTGGCAGCTACATAAGGAAGTTAAGGGAGAAGTGGAGAAACTGGGCCAGGACAGACAGAAATTAAACACTCCCAGAAAAGAGGGCGATTATGTGCAAGGCACTTTGCAAGTGTATAAAAATGATTTATGGAATGGAAAAACACTGCATGTAAGCAGATCATATACCTATACCCTCAGTGTCTGTACTCAAGCCTCATACCGCCAACCCAACCAACACTTGTTACTCTCCTAAGCTCCAAAATCATATCTGGATTTGTTAACTATGAGGAACACTTACTCTGTTGTTGCATCATTGCGTTAAGAGAGGGTTGAGCTGGTTTGCAGGGCTGCATGCCCGGAATCAGGCTGTCTAGGGAGATGTTGACGCTTGGATCAGACCAAGTGGCAGGCAAAGATTTTCCAGAAATTTTGAAGTCTGCCCCAGATGTTGGAAGTGTGTTCTGTTTCTGGAGGGGCTGAGAAACAAAGGGTTAAATTCCATAAATTCATTACAGCAGATGGTTAATTCTGTTCTTAACCTAGAGAGAGAATCCACATGTTTCTCTACACTGCACTTCAGTCCAGCAAGAGAATTGGCCTTCTTATTTCTTTACACCCATTCTTCTAAATGGACTCGTGTGACAATATTTATTTCAGAATGGAAAGGCAAAACTAGTAATTAACATCACTTGAACAGAGAGAGTCCACCAGGAAAAAGATATACACTGGGGTTCCTACTAACAGATGCAGTGTGTCTTACAAGACAACCTGTCCCTTTATTATGAATGGGCAAAGTGACAGATTTGCTTTGAAGTAGGTCTTATCTAACTAGAAAAACGGAGCATTGTGGAATTTGTTTTCTTCTCTAGTATTATACGGTCCCGACTATGTTCACATTAAAAAGTAATAAGATGCCAAGTATTTTTTTTCTTGGCAGCATTTGGTGTGCACCATCAGCAGCATTGAGCCAGTGTAGACCCCTATGGACTTTAGAACCTTTCTGGTTTCCCGGGTATTAAAGGAGAACTATGGGGTCAGTGCTTTTCCCCATAGTTCTCCTCAGCGTCACAGGAGGACACAAACTAGCGTCCTCCCGTGACCCAAAGCTCAGTATACCACGAGCTGTAGCTCGCGGTATACTGAGATGCCGCAGCGGATCCCGACATCGATGTCGAGATCCGCCCAGCTGCGTGAGTGACAGCTGGCTCTGCCTATCTAGAGGCAGAGCCAGCTGTACCCGCCCCCCTCCCCCGTCCGTTCCCGCCAGTCAGCGCTGGTGGATCGGAGCGGGGAATCCATCCCCTCCCCTGTCACGGCTACAGCTCGCGGTATACAGAGACCGCCGCAGCCGGGACAGATCCCGACATTACAGTTTCATTGTCACACGTCGGCTCGAACTATGAGGATGAGTGAAAATCACTCCTCATAGTTCTCCTTTAACTTATTTAAAACTAAATTGCCCATAACTGGCCTTGTCCACCAGAATCCAGTGAAAAAACTTACTTGCGATCTGGACATGGGCAGCGTCACGCCCACTGTGCTGGAGCTCATCATTGATAGGTTCATGCTATGGGAGGTGCTCATGGTGGCGTGGGAAGCCCCCATGAGGTCAAAGAGGTCTGGGGGGTTGGAAGAAGCTGGGGAAGTCTGAGGCACGGAGCCAGCATATAAGTCTGTACTATGCTGTGTCACCCGGTACAGATCTACTGAGGGTGCAGAAGTGGCAGATGCCGATTGGCTGAAGCCTGACCAGTCGCCAAATTCTCCATTGCCAGTTGGTGCAGGAGCTAAGGGGAAAAAAAACAAAAACATTGTGATAAAAAGATCTGAAACACAGATATGCTAAAATACTCAAAACTTTGCTCGACATTTTCTAGTGCATCTGGTCAAGACTGCCTCAGCATGGGAAGCGGGAAAGTAGACTTGTCTTTCCACTGGGATAGCTATATAGAAGCCACACATTAACAGAAATTTGTCTCGAGACAAGATCACTGTGGTATGTAGAAAGGTAAGACAATGGAAATATCGCTTTCACTATCAAAGCGAGATTCCAACCAGATCTTTATTTTAAATTCTGGAGGGTTAGAACCTCTGCACAGTCCCTGTGATAACATATGATGCATACCTAATGCTGGTCATGCATAGGGTACTTTCAAGGAATATTAACCAGCTTTACATTGCAAATGATCATTTGCATTAACTCTTAACTGTTAGAGGTAGGTTGCCTTGTCTATTTGATCACTTTTAATGATCAAAAGTTTGAAATTGCCTTGTGTATGATCAACATTACAGCAAATGTATTCTTTTTATTCAGAAGCGCTTTCCTGTTTGCTATCAGGACCCTATTTATGCTCCATAAGGCAATGAGTGCACCTCTATATAGGTTGCTCTGCTGTGCACATTGCACTGTGGGATGCAGAGGCGGGGCCTGTGTGGGAATATTTTGGATTAGGCTATGTATATGTTCAGTGCAAGGGACAGACGACTTACCTTGTGTAGCAGGGTAGCCGGAAGACTGAGCAGCATGTGAATTAAAATCAGCAAATTCATCAAATGGATCTGGAGATGAACCTAAAAGAGAACAAAAAAAATTGGATTTTTGTACTCAATCTAAAAATTATTTTCTTAGAGTCCATTGAGGGACACTGAAAGTCTTAAAAGCGGAAGTGTTGGCAAAAACTTTATTAGGGCATTAGCTAGGTACCAATGAGGTAACTCCAATGACGTGTGCCCTACTGGTGGCTGCTACGCCTTTCTGGATGTTACTTACATGCAGTCTCTGCCAGTGATGTCACCGCTGAAGTTCTGACGGCGAAACTGACAGTCGGGGCTGGAGGAAAATGATCACAGAGTGTCGCTCGCTCTGACTGGACAAGGAGTGTATGAAACATCACAATCTCCTCTTGTCCAATCACAAAACAAAATCGAAGAGATGAAGCTCTAGCAGTGATGTAGAGGAGTGTCTAATCCTCCTGTGTGTCGCAGTATAATCTAAAGCCTTGGTTCTCAACTGGTGGGTCGCGACCCCGTGCCTTCCACTTTTTTTAGGCGAGAGGCTCCTCTGCCTCCCCTTGGAGCAACACTGTCAGTTCTCGCGCCAAGCAGCCATTCAAAATATGCCAAGTGTCATCTTGAGGTGGGGTGGGCTGGAGCTATGGCCGCAAGGGAGCTCCATCCCTAAGTGCATTGCTTACAGCTCCCTCACGTGTCCTATAGAGATGCCTGGCCCGGAGTGACATCATATTGTGACTCCCGGCACCTCTACAGGGGACGCAAGGGAGCTGTACAAGCAATGCTCGTACGCCCGCACTGGAATGCGCTGTACCCTAATTCCGTTCATTCCACTGCAGTGCGACTTGGGTCGCGACTTAATGACCAAGGGAAAATGTGGGTCCTGAGGTTACACAGGTTGAGAACCACTGATGGTAGCAGACTGCCTGTGTCCCTCAATGTATGAGAAAGACTTCCAAAAGTTTAAAACCGATAGCTGTAACAGCACGTATGGTATACAAAATAGAAATGGACCAGGAAACCACTGTAGGGGAGGTAAAGCCAATTGAGCCCAATTTCAATCAAAAATTGTAATTTTGAATTTGCAGGAGAAGGGAACACTTTGAATCAGGTTTCACTTCTGTGTCCTTGCTGGAACAAAGACAGCAATAAAAACCTGATAGGAGCTCTAATCCTTCCCCACTCTCTCCAAAACTAGAGCAAAATGTTTCAGCTGCAGTTGGCTTTAAGGCCAAAGTAAACGAGGGGTCCTGGAGCTTTTAGCCATACTATTACTAGTATACACATCATATCAGCACATTATGGCAAACATACCTGCTGAACCAATTCCCTCCAGCACTGCAATTCTGCCCCCTAGCTCTTCCATCTTTGCACGTCACTGACCAGGCCAAATGACGTAACTCCTATGCACTGGGACTGTGAAGTGAAGGTGGGGAATGAAGACTGGTGTAAAGGGTGTTCCTGGTGTAAAGGGTGTTCCTGGTGTAAAGGGTGTTCCTGGTGTAAAGGGTGTTCCTGGTGTAAAGAGTGTTCCTGGTGTAAAGAGTGTTCCTGATGTAAAGGTGGAACTCTAATATGAAAGAGGGGCTTCTGATGTAAAAAGGGGGCTTCTGATGTAAAAAGGGGGCTCCTGATTTGAAGGGGGCTCCTGATGCGAAGGGTGATTCTGATGTGAAGGGGGCAGTTAGTTGTTAAGGGGGAAACCCACTTTTTGTTGTGTGTTTTTGCATGAGGTTCCCCTTAAAATAAATGACATATTAGACTGGAGTGCCTTGAGATTTCGCATACGTATAAAGGATGCCGCCAGTGAAAAAAAGGTTGAGAAACATTGATGTAGACTCTCATACTGTATACAATGCTAAGTATATTGCACATAACATATGCTGCGCTTTACTTTACATATTCTAGATCGTCACACACTGTATGCTGCACAAATTATACTCCACTTTTATATACTGTACCACTCCACCATGTACATTGTGCAATATGTAATATACTCTAGAACGGTAAACATCATACACTTGGCAAAGATAGTTTAAAACTTTGGAATTCCCCCCGGTTTAAGGAATGGGTACCCTTGTGCAAATAGAGAAAAAAGTTGAACAGAAAAGAATACAGATTATATTTTCTTCAATAAATAAGCTTTTTCTAGACAAAAAAAACAATATCCATATATCAGTTTAAATATGACTTTAGTGTACTCCACAAGCACTGTATAGGATGCATACAGTAATGGAGGGACAGCCTTACTGCCACAAAACAGCCATCACCCCTCCCGGTATAAAACACAATAAGTGGAGCTCAGTTGCTCAGGTCCGCACTTACTGTGACCGTCCTCTCAGCACAGCTGGCTGGGCAGGTGGTGCCATAACATCTGCCCAGTACTCAAGTATCCCCAAAGACCAGTTTTGACGCCTGGCATAATGCCCAGGCTGCCACAACTTCGCAAGAAATTCTAACCATCTGGCACTGCCAATTGGACAGAACATAAAATGGTTCTGCTTGGGAGATCACCAGGGGCCAAGAACCAAGATACAAAGAATCGAGATGTGAACAAATAAGTTTCATTTTTCTGCAACATAAAACAATGAAAAATACGGAATCTACAGATGAAGGTTTTGCTACAATTTAAAACTAATGAAACTCTAAACTAGTCACATGACATGAGAAAACATGGCTCCCACAATGTGTCACTCTTTCAGTGATAATTAGGCAGCAACCCAAACAGTTGACATAACAGCAGCATGAGATCCCCACAATGGCATCTCCTTAATCCACAGAAGTGCCAAAAAAGGGAATGTGATCTACAGCAGTGTGATGCACATGTCAGCTCTACCATCGAGGACTGGATTAACACTGTGCGTGGAACACAGAAAGACTCAGGACCTATGTACAGCCTTCTAGCTCCAGCTATCAATACTACACTCTAGAGGTAGTCATGGCTCCTATAAGCTTCAGGGTCAAATTAATTTAAAGGTGTATTGAAGTCAAGAAAGAATATCTATATAAGCTCATAAGTGCTTAGATATGGTGTCAAAATGAATTCTCTTGTTTTCAAGCTCTTTTCTCTTTATTTTTACCTGTTCATCCTGCTAGTAACACACTCCCTGTCCTAGGGTGACAACACTTACTCCCCGTACTATATCTATGGAAGAGCAGCCTGGTGACCCCAGGACGAAATGTGTTAGAATGACTTTACACCACCCTTTTTCCCCATCTCCTTAACATGGGGCGGTGGTGTCTCATAGTCTAAACACTTTCTGATGACAGACTGACGAGAGACTGACAGAAGCACAGGAACTCATGAGCTCACTGGTGTTCTGGCAGAAAAAACAGGTTTTTTTTGCACATATTAAACAGACGCAACAAGATTCTTTCAATGGTATAATTAACAGACCAAGAAAAGAGAGCCCACAAGAGAAGTTCATTATAAGGGTTTATATACACAAACAAACACGCACGAGCACACACACTTAAACAATTAGCATTTGGAGTTGCATTTCAGAGTATTTCCTTGGAAAACCAGTTTTCTTTAGTTTTTCCCCCCAGATTTGATACAATTTTGATTAACTTAAATAAAGCATTGTGGTGTGGAGCAGTCCTCGCCCTGAATGTTGTGCTATACGTTCCACTCTGAACTGCTGCACATTAGACAATCCACACTAACAAAGATCAGAATGTTGACATCAAAAGTACATGCTTCTAGGAATTTCTGGGACTTCAGAATACCCATTAGGTGAACAGGAACAAGTTTGCTAGTCTAGATCATGTCCGATTCTCCCTTTCCCTAAATCAGGTGGGCGGGTGCAGGATCTGCACTTGTCTCGTTTCTATATTGTAGTAGCATGCAGTGTGAGTACAGAGGCAGCATTGTGTAAAAAACTACTAAAAAGGGAGACTACACACTGTGCTCCGTGGAAAATATATGCATACGTCTATTAAACAAGAGAAATGTCTTTTGGGTAATTTTACACGACAGTCATGTGAGTGTATGTCCCTCCTATCAGATTCTTCATCCATGACATCGGCTTTTGTTGGCCTGGTATACTGAGCATTGGACAGTACTGGTGTAGCCTACAGGTCACAATACTGCTATTTTCCAGATGTTATTTCTCCAATCGGTAAAACATATCCACACACATTTTAATCACAGAGTCTGAAAAGCACGTAGTATATATTATAATAGCACTTACATACGGAAATATCCCTATCATTAAAAACCTCATCAGTATTGTATCTCTCTGTTACTATTATCAAATGTCCTTTTAGGTACGCAAGTGTTCAGTGAAGGTTCTAAACAATTTTTGATATCTCTAGAGTATATTACATATAAAGTAGCACAATGTACAGAGTGGAATGGTCTGGAATACAATATAAAAAGTGGAGTACAAAACATTCTCCATTATGTCAGTGGTCAGATTACCTGCTGTCTGCCCCGCACTGAACAGTAAATCCACCAGGTCATTTGATGATTTCCTGCCTGATTCACCAGTAGCCTGTAGAGAAAATGACAAACTGTAAGTATATTGTCAAGCATGAAAGAACATTTGCATAGTATCCGGCTGTGTTCTGAAGTGCGTGTACAAAATCAGTAACCGTTTGGAAGGATGCATTAGTCTAAGTTTGGTTGAAGATACATTACCGTTCCATAGTTTTCATAAATCCATTCTCCCCGTCCTCATAAAGTTGATAACAATAGTTCTAACAGTTCTAGTCATTGTTAGTTCAATCAGCTTCTTTAGCCTCACAAATCTAGTTCCCTCTCAAAATTGGTGCAAGCAATTTCCTGTTACTACTTTCTATAGGGCCAGTAAAAGAATTCCACTCGTCCTTATTGGCTAGTGAGTGACAACACAAAGAAAGCTGTGCCTCACAAATGTCGCTGGAGAACAAACCTTTATTATTCTGAGTGGTGCCGCCACCCTCATAAAGACATTGCTGTGGGGGTATATATACCACTTGGTATAATATATCATGTATACTGGCATATGTGGAGTGTGGCTTTCCCTGTGTTGTAACTTGAAGATAGGAGGGCAAGAGGAGCTCCGGAGCTGGCCCAAACCCACTTCTGGTGCAAACCGCTAAAGAGACCCTTGAGTGATTGGATGATCTCACACTCTGCTGTCATGTAAGGCAAAGAAGGTAAAAAAGTTCTGTGAATCGCACTGAAGAACTATGTACTAATGGAGACCAACCAGAGCTGCAATTTCTAACAAAGTACTATTGTTTAAATGGACTCCTTCTGCTGTTCAAAGTGATTTACCTAGTAACGATTAGGCCTTGAGCAACTAATTACCAGTAATGTACTCAAAGGCATTTTATCACCTGACAATTTGACAGAGGCCCATGGCATATTAACATACTGAGCCCAAAAGGCCCTAAGCACAGCACCTATGGCTGCACCAACAGCCCTGTCTTTGTGAAGAGGAGTGAGGAACTGTCTGGTGGTTGGGATAGGGGGGCCACTCACAATAATATAAACTGTGTATGTATATTGCGCTTTGGAAATATCTTCAGCATGAATATGAAACATTAAAATGCAATCTATGACACTAGATGTTGCTGAACACATCTGCAGGCTGCTATTATCAAGCTTCTAGAATTGCTGATGGTTTCAGTTCAGACCAGGCGGCACTTGTTCAGCACCATGGACAGCAGTGTCCTTATCCTGGAACTAGGTGTAACTTTCAGGAGCACAGCAGTGACAGCTTTCTGTCCTACTAAGTAGATTCAGCTATGACAGATAATTGATCGGACATGTTATTATTATTATTATACAGGATTTATATAGCGCCAACAATTTGCGCAGCGCTTTACAATATAGGGAAGACATAACAATCACAATACAAATCAAGACAAGATGGTAAGGAGGGCCCGGCCCCTGGGGGCTGTTCCCCTTCAAGCAAACCTGTGCTTTGCCCATTCAGGGCTTTATTCCACTACCCCCTCTGTCTTTGCTTTGCACATGCACTACTCCATAAAATGGCAGGAGCCAAAAGGAAAATGCCTAGTACCTGTGTGAAAGCCCTGTGCCAATCAGCACCATCACACAGGGAATCCATAGCCCTGTGTAAGCAACTTGTACCTTTATGGGCAAAACACAGTGTAAATCAACTTCAATGAATTACAAACTTTGCATTGGAGTGAAAGGAGATTATGGCCCACATGAGTGGGATGTACAGGACTCGACATTGAAGGTGGGAAGCCCATACAGAGAAGGCAGATAGATGTGCAGCCTAAAAAGCCACTTTAGTTATATTTGTTTGAATACACCAGAAATAAAATATATCAGACCTTGGCGGTGCCGGGCTCGTTGGAAGTTGATGCGAGATCTGAGCCGTCTCCAGTGTAGTGTGCAGCTGCTCCGAGGTCAATAGTTTTGGATGGGTTCCCTGTACGTTTGTGGCGGGTGGTGGTGGTCTCTGTGGCCTGAGTGATATGGATGTGCTTGGTGGTGACCGTTTCTTCTTGGTCTTTGAACTCGGACTGTTTACCACGGTTTGCTTTCTTATCTTCTTCGCTGTCACTAGAAAGTGGTGACATAGCCCGATGCTTTAAACATAGTAGGCAGAATCTACATTCAGCTTTTATACATTTTAACTATTAAGGAAGGCTAGCGCCAAGAGAAGCCAGGTTTGTGCCAACTTGGCCAGAAGTCAAGCCCAAGTGTACTGCCTGGGCTTAGGATGCAGGTGGCTCGATAAGAAAACAGCAGCTTAACTCAAGGCTATCACAGATAATTTTAGGCACTACAAGGTGTTCGAGAATCAGCAGTAGAACTTGCGTAGGTGCTTTTTGTGCCATGCTAGGATCACCCTCACCTGCACCGCTCAGGGGAGTCTTCTCGGTCTTTCCTCCGGAACTTGTTGATTGTGTCGTCAATGGTGCTCCCAATCTTATCGCTCAGCTCCCCCAGCTTGTCGCTGAATGGGAAGCCTGGCTTAGTCTTATCCCAGTCCTCATCCCATTTAGCTTTAGGCTCTGTGTCATATCGGTCACCTGTTGAATATTCAGCAAAAGACAGTTAAGCCACAGCATTTCACAATCCTTTTACACCCAGGCACCTAACTACCCAGATTATCCATTTGATTCAGCAGGAGGAGAGGTGTGGATGACAAAGTAAGCACACGAGTCCTGTGCTCATAGAAAATGCAGTGGGCACAGAGCTCTGAACTGGGATCAGAAGTGGAAGTAAATGATTGATGAATCAGTTATAAAGAAAGGAAATGACAAAGATTGGTTTTCACTAAATACATTTTGGCCCTTCGCCTATCATGGAACTACAAGTCCCAGCAAGCCATGCCAACCACTGATTGGCAATGCTTGCTGGCAGTGTCGTTCCTTGACAGCATTTTTGTCATATTTGCATTTAATCATCCTGTAAGGTTTAACACTTTCAAATTACTCAGAGGCTGTTGAGTGATTTACAGCACAATCATGTCCATAGGAGATACAAGGGTAGTGCGAGTACTAATCTGAAATCAGCTGGCTGAGACAGATTGGTTGCTAGGGGAAATGTTTCTTAAAAGAAGTGAGAAGATCCTAACGCACCACATCCCTAATAACCAGTCCATCTCAGAAATTCAGATAAGTAATCTTCATACAGCCCCTGGCTCACCTGTAGAAGTGTATGTAAACCCCAAATCTTTTTTTTAGTATGTCAAATTCATTCCTCAATGTATACTGTTTTCTTAAAGAGACCCTGTCACCAGATGATTCATTTTAACAAAAATCTTCTCATAAGATTATATGTGCAGTTATTTTATTCACAAGCCTCCCTTTATTGACATCGAAAAGGCCATAGACTGTTGCTGGGCGCCACCATCTTGGATATGATGACAGCAGCCCCAGAGCTGTCCCACAGGTGACACTCTAGAGCAGGGGTACCCAAACCTTGGCCCACATAGCATTGCAAGACTGACAGCCACCGGCATGACTAGCTTTGATAAAACTACAAATCTCATTCCTGCCTCAGGAAGAGGGCCAAAGTGTGGCTACCTCTGCTCTGTAGTATTCTCCTTCGCTCCTCCCCTGGCAGCTACACAAAAGTTTATGTGGAGAGGTGAGGAACAGAGGAGCTTGGCCAGACCATACAATACTTAGACACTCCCTGAAGGGCAGAGGGCTATGACGTGGAAGAACAGAGAGGGCTTTGCTAGGGATTTAACTCTACCTGGAGTAGACACATTTTCTTAAAAGGAAGATGCAAATTGTATGGCAGTGGCTTAGCATTGTCAGCCTGCCACAGAAATGCTGTCACCAATAGGATGCCCAGGTAATAAACTTCACAACAGATTCACTTAAGAAAGCTGTATACAGTGAGGGATGATGCCAAACACACTGAAACATAAAATCTGGGTTTGCATACACTTCAAAGGAACCATTTACTGAAAGTAATACAGAGATCGCTCCTGCTGAAAATCCACACAGGTACAAGAAGCCCACCGTCTTCCAAATCTAGAATTGATTACTGTTTAATTAGAGAGGAAGAAGAGGTATGGATAGGTAGGACAGAGAGGTACAGATGCAGCAACCACGTGCCTGTGCTGCACAGACGGAGGGTACGAATTGACACAGCAAATTAAAATAGCGAAAGCTCGAGTGGCATACTGCAAGGAGAGACCTGGATGATTGTTGGGGTGACAAAAGATTGTATATTTAATTATTTGCAGCCTATTAGCGGCCTGAAATGGTTGATAGCATGTAGCAATAACGTGCAGAAGACAACACAATGTGAATGTTGGGAAAAAAACACCAATGAATGCATTTACATACATGACAATGAAATGTACTTTTTAGCTAATGTATCTAAATGTATCTTAAAGCAGAACTCCAGGCAGATGGATTCTGCAGTGTATACCATAGCTGGACTGCTGCCATGTGCTTTGAGATCTATACTTTTCTTTACGCAGGATAGTACAGCTCCCACTGTACTTCTGGCCCAGTCCAGATATGAGAGTTGTGGACTCACAGTATTGTCGGGATCTGTCCCGGCTGCGGCGTTCTTAGTATATTGCGGGCAATAGCCTGCGATACACTGAGCTTTGGGTGATGGGAGGACATATACTATATATACGGGAGGACATATACTAACACTTACCCCATGGTCCTCTTAACAGAAGCAAAAAAAAATTAGATCTCCTGACCTGCCAATTTATGCTTTCCTCATTGGATGAGAAAGAAATACCTGTTATTTTTGCCTGAAATCTTGTCAACTTCCTGTGCTTGCTGCCTTTGCTACATTGTTATAACTTTGGTTTACCACATTGTTTTGAGCTATTTCTGAGGACCACAGAACCCTTCCCTTCTATGTTATGGAGAACATATGCTTGAGGTTAATCTCTGTTCATGACCCTCAATGGAATGAGTGAACCTCAATTTCTGTTCTGGCAATATCCGGAAAATACAATTAGGGGGAGCTCTGATAAAGCAGGATGCAGTACCTTCTCAGGTGAATAAGTCATTATCAGCTCCTCAAAACAGACTCCATCCACAAAGCTTTTACACAAGCACAAGGATTTTTGGAAATGTAAAAATGAACCCTTGCAGTGCGGTAGTAATTGCTCATTTTGGTCTAGGACCGGGGTAGGTTACCTTGGCTCTCCAGCTGTGCTGAAACTACAAATTCCATCATGCTTCTGACTCTGGGAGTCATGTCTATGGCTTGCAATGCCTTATGGGATTTGTAGTTTCAACACAGCTGCAGAGCCAAGGTTGCCTACCCCTGGTCTAAGAGTTCAAATAAAGAAAATATACTTATTTGATCCTCGGTCCTGTGGCGAAGAGCTCTCACCTCTATGCCCCTCTGCGTCCTCAATTCTAATGCAGCTGCGTGGCGGCACGGGTCCTAAGACCGCCAGAGCCCAGGGGAGAAAAGGCTGTAGGGACCGGTCCACCAGCCAAGTGGGACTGAGGATAACGTGAGTATATATTCTTTATTTTAACCCCTAGACATAAATCAGCACTTAACCTTTGCAGTGCAGGGGTAACCCCCACTGCACGGGCTTATGGTTACATTCCCTGGAGTTCTTCTTTAAAATCCACATCCTGGCGAGTCAGTTTTGTAAGTTGAGCCTCATGCGGGTAAGAAACTTCCTGCTTATGAACCTTAATATTGGCAGGCGGATGCTTTTCTGATAAGTAACATTCTTCATACAAGTGATACAAATAAGGAACTAAGCACAGAGACCAACTGAAAAGTACTCTCAGGAAAAGATCTTTCCGTGTGACCCTTTTGGCCACCAATGACAGAACGTGACGGTATAGAAATACGCCATCACGGAGTGGCAGAAAACAGACAAAGCCAGATGCGTTTCGAGACCTGTGCGCAGACCTCGCAAGTGACTGAAGCATGTTTCCCCGCACAGCATTACAGCTTAATAGAAATGGATTATAAACAAACATTTGGGAGATTATGCATGGATATACTACACCACCATAAAATAATAATGAGAGCAGCTAGCTATTCCTCTGGCTAGAGGAGGCATCGCTGTAAACAAGTGATTTACAATTCAGAACACTTTCCATAAAGACTGAAAAAAAATGAGAGAATGTTTGTATTACCATTAAATCCCCAATGAAAGGACTGAAATTACCCTATGATGTCACTGAAGTCCTGGACCTTGTAAACTTAACATTGCCGTGTCTCCTATTTTTAATATATAGCTAGAGATTTCCTATATTTATTTTAATATCTTTTTTTTTTTTTTTTTTTTTTTTTACAGGTAGCTGGGTAATAGAATACAAGATCATAAGAATGTTTTTCCGGAACTTCGAGCAATCCCGTCAGGTTGCAACAAAAATTTGGATGAAAGCTACCTGTCATAGAAGAGATCGTATACTCACGTCTCTATCAGCCTGTGTCTACTACCTTCCCTCATTCCAACACTGCAGCCACCGTCTCTCCAAAGAGTTCTGGATGCCAGCACATCCCACCGCATGCAATGGTTCCATCCTCTGACCCCTACATTGTGACGGGACTCAGCAGTACTGTAGAGGTCAGAGGATGAAACCAATGTCAAAGCCCACACAGGCATCCAACACTCCCAGAAGTGTGGAATGCTGATGAGGGATGAAGGTTAGGGCTGAAATGGAGGAAATGTAGCAGACATGGGTTGCCTGAGAGGCGAGTATAAGAGCTTCTAGCATGCACTGTGATCAAGAAAACCCAAAATAACTTGGGCCATGAAGAGTTTAAAAGGCAAACAGAGAAGTGCAGTCAACAAAGTGACCAATAAGTGAATTATTTTTCTTTGTATGGGGAATGTATGTAAACCACACATGGGAATGTTCTAGTGGTCAAAGCCTGCAGCAAGCACATACCAAACACTTTCAATCATCATATCTGAGATGCTTCCATACTTGTCTTAAACCAAGTGGGGAAAAAACAAATCGTGGTCCTGATAATAAAAAAAGAGCCCTGATGTAATTTAATGGTCTTCCATTACGGAACTTCGAGCAATCCCGTCAGGTTGCAACAAAAATTTGGATGAAAGCTACCTGTCATAGAAGAGATCGTATACTCACGTCTCTATCAGCCTGTGTCTACTACCTTCCCTCATTCCAACACTGCAGCCACCGTCTCTCCAAAGAGTTCTGGATGCCAGCACATCCCACCGCATGCAATGGTTCCATCCTCTGACCCCTACATTGTGACGGGACTCAGCAGTACTGTAGAGGTCAGAGGATGAAACCAATGTCAAAGCCCACACAGGCATCCAACACTCCCAGAAGTGTGGAATGCTGATGAGGGATGAAGGTTAGGGCTGAAATGGAGGAAATGTAGCAGACATGGGTTGCCTGAGAGGCGAGTATAAGAGCTTCTAGCATGCACTGTGATCAAGAAAACCCAAAATAACTTGGGCCATGAAGAGTTTAAAAGGCAAACAGAGAAGTGCAGTCAACAAAGTGACCAATAAGTGAATTATTTTTCTTTGTATGGGGAATGTATGTAAACCACACATGGGAATGTTCTAGTGGTCAAAGCCTGCAGCAAGCACATACCAAACACTTTCAATCATCATATCTGAGATGCTTCCATACTTGTCTTAAACCAAGTGGGGAAAAAACAAATCGTGGTCCTGATAATAAAAAAAGAGCCCTGATGTAATTTAATGGTCTTCCATTGCAGTATGCCCACACAATGCCAAGCTATAATCACTGACTGCTACCAGCCTCGCCATGTGCAGCACACGCACCGTACTCATTGTATCTGAACCCCCCTCCGCTTTCTGAAGACACGCCAATGTATTTGTCTTTGTTCTTCTTGGCTTTCTTGCGTTCTTCCCGGAGGCGGTCGTCATCTTGGACAAACTCCACCATTTCCTTCACCTTCTGCCGGATGTTGACGCCTTGGTCTTTACCGTTTTCATCTGGGAAATAGAAAAAGGTAAAACCACACAAGTCTCTTTAGGCAATTCTTTATAATGACAAAAAACCTATAGGGTAAGAAGCCTGTGAACTGAGGCACTGCCCATCATACAACCATGCAAATCACAGGCCAGACACACAAGCATTCCTCATTTGTGCAGCCAGCATATGTCAAAAACTGCTTGGGAATGAAATATACATATACAGTGAAGGAGCCTTAAAGTGACCCTGTACCTACACTGCATAAAAGTATTTACATATTCTGAACAATCAGCAAAGATAAGCCATCACTGATCTCTGTAGCTGTGAAGAATGTAATCTTCAAATTTCACAGAGGCACTGAAATCATAGCTTCTCTCCCCTTATTTCTCTGGTAATAGAGACTTGGCAGCCTGCCAGCCACCTAATGTTAGTGGTTCACGCTTCTGCTTTACAGCACTGGGGTCCTCGGTTTGAACCCCGGCCAAGATGCTACCCGCATATCTCCATATATGGCTTTCCTCCAGGTACTCCAGTTTCCTCCTACACTCCCAAATACATGCTGGTAGGTCAAATGACTCCTGTTTAAATTGGTGTGACTTGACAGGGGCTAATGTAAATTTACAGTAGGTTAAGTGATGAGTAAATGGTCAGCACTATTTAAATGTCTGTTAATACATAAACAGCAGTTAGAAACACATCTTTGAGAATGATTAAACGTCACAGTGCCTGCAGCTGGAGCGATCAGTAAGGGCTTAAAGAGACAAATGTGCATGCGTCTTTAAGCACTTGAGTCCTGAGTGCCATTTTAAAACAGCACAGGGGCAGGAGCTGTTTGCCTCAGCCACACTTTAACTGCCTCCGGGCCGGCCGTAGTAAAAAAACGGCCGGCCAGGAGCTCTCTCGATCTGAGCGGGCGTCTCTAGACGTCCGCTCAGACACGCCCCCTTGCGCGCACCACCAGGCGCGCGCGAGCGGGAAATGGCCAGAATTTAAAAACGGGCAGTGATGCCCGTTAATATACATGTGATCCGCCGGCTGTAGAGCCGGCCGATCGCATGTATGGGGTGCCGATCGGGTGTCCCCCCCTCCGTGGTCCCCCCCCGCTGTTGTCCCGCTGATCCCGGGCTCCGCTGTGCCCGGTGCGAGCCCGGGATCAGCATGTCGCCTGTGACACAGGGGATCAGAGAGAGCTCGGTACACGAGCTCCCTCCGGTCCCCTCTCCTCTGAAAGAATGCGGAAGTGTTGTATAATACATCACTTCCGCATTCTTGTGTCACTCTCCAGCTTCAGAAGCTGGAAAGAAGCTGATGGAGCAGATCTCTGCTTCATCAGCTTCTTTTGGGGGGTCCTAGGTGACATTAGGGGTCTTGGAGACCCCTGATGTCTCCATAAAGAGGACCTGTCACATATTTTGCTATCACATAGGGGGGTTTTATTAGCCCCCGTATGTGATAGCGATAAAGTTTAGTGAAAAAAAAAAAAGAAAAAAAAATTAAAGTCCCCCCCAAAAAATTTTAAGTTACACATAAAAAAAGAATTAAAGAAATTTTTTTTTTTTAAAGTCCCCACCCATACATACACGCATGCAAACATGCGTCGGGGGCGCATACGTGCAAAAAAGACGATTGCGCCCATTACGCCGCACATGTTACATATCGCCGCGAACGTCGGAGTGAGAGCAATAAGTCTAGGGCCATCAATCACTGATAACACTAAACTGATGAGCGGTAAAAACTTTTAAAGTGTCGCCTATGGCCAATTTTGGTTGCCGCCGTTTTCTGCGATGTCGCGGGTGCGCGCAATTTTAAAGCTTGACATGTTTAGTGTCTATTTAACCGACGTGACCTGATCTTTTATATTTGACCAAAAAACTGGGTAATAATAAATGTTTCCTAACATAATGTTACAAAAAACGTTTTTTTTTCAAAATTTTCAGTAATTTTTCCTAATTATAATAAAAAATAAAACCCGTAGTGGTGATTAAATACCCCCAAAATAAAGCCCTATCTGTCCCCAAAAAATTGTATAAAATTCATTTCAGTACAGCGTTGCATGACGGAATAAACGTCAGTCAAAGTATCGCAGCGCTGAATGCTGAAAAATGGCCTGGCCAGGAAGGGGGTCTAAACACCTGGTCTTGAAGTGGTTAAAGCAGCATCTGGATTCCGTAGATCTCTTGGATCCCGGAAACTTAAAGCGCTGGCTCTGTTTGCATCAGGAGCGCAATGATGTCACAGCATTTCCTGAATACATTTTATAAAATGTGTTAAATAGATTTAAACATATGCTCGCAAATTACACAAACATTGCACTTTCCATGTACTTTTTCCTACATTTTTACTAGTTATTTGCAATTAAAACCAAGGAAATAAAAACGTGTCCAAATGTGCTACCAAATTAAAGCCCTGTCTGTCCTGGAAAAAAAACGATGTATAATACGTCCGTGTAGTTGTCTAACACCAAATAGTAGAACAAGTGGAGCCAAGACATCTCCGAAAACGCCCCAGGAATTGAGGGAATTTAGGGAGAAAAAAAAAGGCAGAGGACTCAAGTGGGTAAAGCCAAACAGAATTTTGTCTGCACTATTCCATCTTCGAATGTTCATTTGTTGGTACTCCTACACAACAAGTTGAAAAGAATATTTAGGAAGATTGTTGGCCTAGAAACATTTTTCCTTGAAAGCCCAATTCTCTTTCAGTTGATATCAGCTAAACATATTCCAGGTCCAGCAAATGAAAGGTGTACATTCTTGTGTTGTGGAGTTGAATGGCAGCTCAATGCACCTCCACACCGCACCTGTGTTGCAGCATACAGCAACACACAGGATTGTACTGCTGTGCTTTGTGGGGTGCTGTGCTGCATTACCAAAACGCATGCAGGTGTGGTTTTTCAGTCTTTTGTGGCGTGTTGGCAGCCTATTCAGATGAATTGGCCCGTCTTAACGCAACGTTTACAGCCGCGTGTTAAAACGCACTGCGACAGACTTACATGGTGTGAAGGGGTCCTTACAGTTCCGTTTTCTTGACTAGAAAAGCCTGTCCCCCCGCCAGCATGCTGCATAGCAGTGGTCTCTCTGCAGAGGTCCTACTAGCTCCTGCCGAGTTAGATCTCTCCAATCAGCAGAGAGCATTCATTTTGCCAACTGCAGATTACGCTTTTGATGTGACTGCATTCCAAACAAAATGATCAGTAAAGACTTTAAAACCCAATGAGAGAAATTTTAATAAAACTGGAGCAGACAGAATCTGGAGCAGTTGCCCACAGCAAGCAATCCAGTTTGATCAGTTAAGCGTTGAAAGTGAAAAATAGAAGCTGATTGGTTGCCATGGGCAACCACTCCTGTTTTATTAAAGTCCCCTCATTATATTTTGCTGAATTATCCTGGAAGTTCACTTAGGCTTTAACTATGAGAAACTAAAACTGAGCAGATTCTTTAAGCATTAAACGCGCTACAAAAGGAAAAAAAAAAACAGAATAGCAAATGATATTCCACGACTTCTTGAGCCTCCGCCTCATTAATACATCTTTACTCCCGTCCCTAATAAAGACGTAAATTTCAGGCAAATTAACACGTTTTATCGGGCAGACAACACGCTCCGTCTGCTCCTAATTGCAGATAACCTGGCCTTGAAACCCCCAGCCACTTCTCCCGGGTCGTATAATATCGCGTCGGCCGCCTCCTCTCTAAAGCAAACTCTCTTTCCTTTTTTATTTTAATGTATTCAAAACACACCCCGGCTTTCCTTTGCACAGCAAATACGTCTTGGCGCAGGCTAGAGGGATAGCGAGGGAGAATAAACCGAGCTTCAAACGGTCGTGCTTGTGTGTTGGAGGGCCGACCTTTTTCCCGGTGTATAATTAAAGCCCTGTCTTTTCTTTCTGCCGCCACAGGGGACCAGCCGCTGGTGCATATTTTAATATAAACCCGTGCCGCTCGTGTTGTGCTTGCTGGTGTTGTTATTAGCTTTCTCCTCTCGGCAAAAGTTCTTCTCCGCGCTAATTAATACTCTAGGGCCCCGTGTCTTGGAATCTGTTCTTCATACAGCCTGCAGCGGCTCGGGCCCAATTAGGCCTCGGCAGCCTGTGAAGACTTTCGGGTGACTGACAAGTCCAACAACCGCTTTAATTTGCCTCCCCCCACAAATCTTTTTTTCTCTTCTTCTTCTTTGCTAATACTCACCTACAAAGTGGTAATTTTCCAAGGATCGTAAGTCATAAATGTGCTCCCTGCCGCTTGTGACGACCCGCTCCGATCCGTTCCGTATGAGGTACGCCAGCAGCAGTAAGGACTGGAGGAAGGGGAGAGAGAACAGCGATGTGCATGTGAGTAACGTTCACCACAGACATGAAAACAGCATCGTAATAAAGACATACAATGATTAAAGATGAACTCTAGACAGATAAAGAGACAAATCAAGACAGCTATATAATCATTAAGACATCATTACACGTATTCTTTAAATGCAAGTAGCGTAAGGATCTAAATGTGACCTGGCATCAGCCTCTTATTGTCCCTGTACAGCAGGGCTGGAGTGTGAGTGGAAGCAGCACAAGTAACAAATCAGTGCCAGGAGGAGGAGAGATGAGTTCATTACTGTGCTGCTTCTCCTTTCACTGTCCAGGAACAAGGCCGAAGTGGGCTCAGGAGGAGGGTTGAATGATGCTGACCATCAGACTGAAGACATCTAGCAGCAGAAA